CTGAAGAAATAGAAGAATCAACAGATGTTATTCACCCCGATGTAACTCAAAATATTCCCATCGAAAAACAGCAAAAAAATACGGAAAATACTTCGGAAAGAGAAGAAAATCTTGATAATAATGATGATCGTCTCTTGACGAATGAAAGATGTACTCCTAACAGCAGCGGCATCGGTGGACAAAAGTCTTTTGGTGATCATTTATGGTGGCCTGGTCCTTTAGAAACTCAGAGGAAAATGGCCAAAGAAAAATTGCCCTCTGCTATATCTTCAGCCCTCTACAGGAAATTTTTGGAAGACAAGGAAAACCTAAAGGAAATCGAACAGGAAAAAAAGGAGAAAGGAAAATTGATTAGGAAACAAAAAATTGAAGAGAAAACTCTAGTTAAAAAACAAAGTAAGAAGAAGAATCCGAGGGAAAATAACAAAAAAATTGAAAAGAGTAAGAATAAAGGCGAACAACAGAAAATCGACGATGGAAGGGAAAATGGTGAAGAAGAAGAAGAGGATGAGAAAGAAAATGACGATATGTCTAGAATTTTATGTTCTGCCTGTGAGGAAGAACTCATCAGCGACATCGAAGATGACGACTTGAAAAATGTGGGCTGTGATCGATGCATTAGATGGTTTCACCTTATGTGCACCGAGTTCGTTGGTTTGCCGTATAATGAAGTGGCTGAGAGAGATTTCACTTGCTCCTTCTGCTCTTGAAAATGAAAATGTTTTATGTTATTTTATTTATTTTTTTTACCTTTATTTTACTCATTTTGTGTTCTTCGTACCAAAGATATACTTCAATTTGAAATAAACGTTCTAGTCCTGAAAGGTTTTAAATTTCAGAAATGTATTGATTCGATAGTTATTTATTCAACGCCAATGAGCTACAAGGAAAAATAGAGTTGAACTGCCATTAAGTATTCAAATATGAGAAATCGTCATCCGGATGACTACTGGTTTGAACTCGGCCGACAATAGATTTTTGGTGGTCGACTACTGGGAAATCGAATTGATTTGATTTTTTTTTTTATTATTCTCTGCATTCAGAAATGAGTGGTAATTATAGAAATCGAAAATACAATAACCTAGGATTGCTACATAAAAAATGTGAGGTCGTATCATTTCAAACATGATTTTTAACACGTTCGCAGCCGAGATAAAATTTTAAAATCGGACACCAGGGGCCAAGTTAATTTTCACAAATTAGGTACATTTTGCAAGCATTCCCCATATTTGGTTTTATTCAATACTTCATGATTTTTGATATATTTTTGATTTTGATTATTTTTATAGTGTATCATATTTGATACACTCGCCAAACAATAACAATTTTGTTGCTCTAGGCCGAGTGTGTCATTTATGATACACCAGTATTTTATGCTTTTTTATTGTTTCAAATGTGCTTTTTTATTGTTTCAGATTGACGAGCGACACAATGTCTTCTACTTCACTTCACTTCACGATTTACGTGCACTCTTGCACTGGCTTAGAGCCTAATCTATCTTTTCAAAAAAAAAAGATAGCTTTTGCTCTATTTTATCACGCAAAAGTACACCTAAATCGATGTACTTTTGTTACAGAGATAGAACCTTCCAAGTGTTGGTGAAAAAGTGACTATAGAGACTACAGTGAGAAACATAAAAATGGCAAAAAGGTTTTATTCAGACAGTGAAATTGAAAAAATGCATGAAACAGGGGAATACCCTGACACGGACATGAGTGACGAAGATTTGGATGATTCCGATGCTGATCCCAATTACCAGGCAGAAACGGAATCATATAATAGTGACAGTGATGATTCAATGCTACGAGCTAGTGCTTCGATTTCAAAACCCCAGCCGGAGAGAAATAGGATAACTAGCCGATCTCCATCGNAACGCCTTCAAACTTATTTTTACGTTGATATAATTACTTTTTCTTTGTATTCACATGAATAAATCAAATTACTTTACTGCCATTAATATTTGTTTTATACCCACACAATAGTCCCCACCAAAACCCTCCAGGCCAAAACTTTAAGTTTCTCTTTATGCTGCCAGGCTGCAGAGACCATAAGCTAATGTATTTCTTATTGCCGATGTATTCTAGGGAATACACCGCTGTTCAGACAGAATAATAGTGCGTGTATCATTTAGGATACCCCCGGCCTGTGGAAAGAACTACATGGTGTATCATAAGTAATACACCCGGCAGCGAGTGTGTTGATTGTGCGACGTTTCAAATATTTGGCTTAACTGGCCGACTACCGGCGCATTTACCCTACTTTCCAAACAGAAAATGATGTAACCTTAGACATTGCCAAAAGACTGTCTGATGAAGAAATGAAAGAAATGATTGCCCCAATTGGCAAACGAAAAATATTTAAGGAAGCAATTCATAAAATAAATAAAGAATCGTATATAACAGAGGTATGTCTTTCATTTGTAACTTTCATTATGAATATGTATACCATTACAATTAAAAACATTCAGTTTTCTCAAATAACTATATACCT